ACCCAACATTCTTGAAGTGCTGGGCTTGATACCCAATACCACACAGAAAGAAGAAAAAAAAACAACAGCAACACCTTTAACAACAGCAAAATACTCAGATAAAAAATAAAAACAACAATGACACCACCACTGGGCATGGTGGTGCACACCTATAATCCAAAGGACTCAGAAGCTGAAGCAGGAGGATGGCAAGTTCAAGGCCAGCCTCAGAAACTTAGCAAGGCCCTCAGCAACTAACTTAGTGAGACCATATCTCAAAATAAAAAGGGCTATGGATATAGTTGAGTGGTAAAGTACCCCTCAGTTCAATCCCTGATAGCAAAAAATAAAAAATATGACAACACCAACAACAGAAGAGAAAGGGGCAAAAATTATACAGAGTAAGATAAAAGTTAAAAAGCAATTTAAAAAGGAAGAAAAAAGGAAATCATGAAAAAAAGGAAAAAGAAAAATTTGGAAATTAAAATGAAAAGAGAAAAGGGGGAAAGAGGGAAAAGGTTTAAAAAGGGTGGATAAAGAAAAGAAACTATATATACACACAAAAGAACAGTAACAAAAATATTAATAAAAATTTCCTCTCTTGAGGTGCTCAATTGTGCATGTAAGACTGGATGATAATAACCTATGCTGATCAGAGCTTCTGAGTGCCCTTTGGAGAGAGCAAAAGGTTTTTTCACTTCTTTCCCTTGTGGTGTTTGCCATATGACCAGCAGGAATGGTTTGTGGTTGAATTCAGTTGGAATATCCCTTATCTTCCCTGCACACCAAATTAAGCAAGAGTGGAACTCAGAACTGCCCAGGAAAATATTTACTCCTGATTTATTTGGACTGTGCATTTGGAGACTGGGGCAGACATTGAAGTTGCAGAGTGTCAGGGACTCCAGCACCTTTTGTGTTGCACACTCCAAATACAGGGAGAGGCTGTGGAGTCTCAGCCATTTGTACTGGGGGAAGGAGAAAGTGGGCCCTGTACAATCCACTACCTTTGACTCTGGTATTCCAAGATAGTTCCTGAAGGAAATTGCAGGTGTGTGCCCGTACCCGCCCCCTCCCCACAATTCCTGCAGCTTGTTTTCTGAACTGCCAGTTTTAAAGAGGAGCCATCTTTAGTTCCCTAGGCGTGTCAATCCTGGTTCCCACCACATGGAATTATTATTACTGAATTTTTATTCAGTTTGTGGCCAAACTGAATCTCAAGACATTTGCTTCCTGAACCAGCCCAGCAATATTTCTGGAGACCAAGAGTCAGAAAAATGCAGGGGCCTTTGACTTTAGAGGAGTAAACTGAGATAAGACTTATCAAGATGGCTTCATGGTATAGCACCTTGAGAATACACTGGGAAGTGTAGAGAACTTATTCATAACCAGTATTGATATGAAGATCCAAGTCTATTTTCTGTTTAGGCTGCATTTTCCTTCAAGGTGTCAAATCCTGCATTAGTGGTGCTCATGGGGACTCCTCCATCTTCTACTGCACTGCTGCTGCCATATTGCTCATGCCCTCTGTTCCACTATCCAAATCTCTGCCTGTCCATTATTGAACTTCAGTATTCTCTCACTATCACCTTCCTAGATATCCAGTTGCTCTCCAGTTCTTTTAATTGTATCTCATAGAAAATTGGGCAAGAGCTAGGTGCTCTAATTTGCCATCTTCCTGTCTCCTGTCAATCTAATTTCATTATTTTAAATACTGGCTTTTCTGTGTTTAATGGTAAAGGACTGTTCATAATTTCTATTTCTTCTTGTGTCAGTTTGGTAAATTGTATTTTTCAAACACTGCTTATTTAATCCAAATTGTCAAATTTATTGGCAGAAAACATGTTTATAATGCTGTCCTACTACTTTCTAGTATCTGTGGAGTCTACAGTGTTACATTCCCTTTTCCATTATTGTTATTATTGATCTGTTTTTTTCTTCTTGTTTTTTTTGAATTAGTCTTGCTAGAGGTCTAGTAAATTTCCTTGTCTTTACTGATTCTGTTTTTATTATGTTCGTTTCTATTTCATTCATTTCTTCTCTTCTTAAAAATTTAAATTCTTTGCTGTGATTTGCTAGTCTGTTTCTAGATTATCAAGTTTACTTAGATCATAGAATTTAAGCCCTTTTCTCTGCTAATATATGCATTAAATACTTTCAGGTTTGTTGTAAGTACTTTCCTTTGCTGCATTCAATGACTGTTGATATTTTATAACTTCATTAGCATTCAGTTAAGAATATTTTCTGATTTCTTTTGTGATTCTTAACAAGGATTATTTAGGGCTGGGAATGTGGCTCAAGCAGTAGTGCGCTCGCCTGGCATGCGTGCGGCCCGGGTTCGATCCTCAGCACCACATACAAACAAAGATGTTGTGTCCGCCGATAACTAAAAAATAAAATATTAAAAAAAAACAAGGATTATTTAAATGTATATTCCCTAATTTATAAGTTGGAGATTTTACAGTCCCCACATCCCCACATTCTATTTTTCCATTATGCATGTCTAGCTTAATTTTACTGTAGTTGGAGTATATATTCACAAGATTTTGATCCTTGAAATCTGTTGAGGCTTGTTTTATGACCCCATGGTGTACTCAGTTTTGGCAAAATGTTTAATGTGTCCCTGAATTTAAATTTTGTTACTGTAGGGTGCATTTATGCCAATTTGTTAATTTTGGTAATTGTGTTGTATAGATTTTTTTCTATGCTTACTTATTTTTATTTCTGCTTGTTCCATCAGCTATTGAAAACGTGTGTGATTATGAATCACAATGATTGATAATTTATTTTTCCGTTTAATTCTATGAGTTGTTGCTACACAATAAAAACACAGAATGTTAATGGGTATATACAAATTAAAATTGTTATATGTTCCTAATGGTATGATTTTTTTATCAGTCGATTATCTTAATCTTAGTAGTGGTTCTTGCCTTAACTTCTACTTTGTCTGTGCAGTATAGCTATACTAATAATATTTTTTACATGATGTATCTTTTTCTATCAACCTTCTGTGTTCTTGTATTCAAGGTTTATTTTGTGAACAGTGTCTACTTTTTTTAAAAATCCAGTCTGATAAGCTTAGTCTTTTCGAATGGAAAATATTTTATGTTAATATATTTATACTTTTATTTTTATTTTCATTTTATTATTGTTTTATATATGTCCCACTTGTTTTTGTGTTTATTTTTCTTTCCTTTTCTTCCTTTCTTTTGGCTTAAATTTTTTGAAATTTGATTTTTTTCATCTAGTAACTTATTATAGTCTGTTATATATACATATTAATGTATATATAAAAACAAAAATATTGTTTTCTTTTAATTATAACCCTAAGAAATATTACTTGCATCCTTGACTTATTGCTGTCCAGTTAAAGAAAAAATTATTATTTTAAACACTTTTTCAATAATTCAAGATCCTTAAAGTACTTTAATTTTCTTTTTTATACTCTTGTCCTTTGCATTATTTTTGTTATAAATTTTTATTCTGTATAATTTTTAAATCTCACTAGCTATAGTTAATATTATTTTGTAGATTTAATACCCATTTATACATATTCACAGAATTAGTCTTTTGGTTCTTCTTTATTTCCTCTTGCATTGCTGGTTTCTGTCTGGGATAATTTTTCTTTAACGTAAGTATTCCCTCTAAGGACTTTTTAATACTTTCCTGCTGGCAGTGAACTATCTATTTTCACTTGTCTAAAAATGGCATTCTTTCATCTTTATCTGAAGGAAAAATTTTTTCTGGCTATAAAAAAATCTAAGTGTATTCTAACATGTCACATACAATTTAATAGTATTATGGATGAATGCAACATTTATTGAGCTTCAAATAATTTTCTTTACTTTTATGTTTACATTGATCTTGGTGCTCTAAGTCAATGTTTTGTATTTCTCCTAGCATTCCTCTTCTTTCTAGTTAAAATAATACAGAATTTGGGAAGAAAAAATGCCTTATTTTGAGAGTCAAGTTTTAAATTTACCACCTGTATGAACTTGGTCAAGTCATTTAACTTTTCTGAGGCAATTTCCTTATCTATAAAATAAGAAAAATTTTATATTAGCTCTATTTCACTGGGCAGTTTTGAATTTCCATTCAGAAGTAAATGAAAGTGCTTTGTAAAGTGCACCAGTTAGTGAAAAAAATAGTGTTATTATTTTTATTTTGGGGGACAAAAACATTATCAATGTATGTATCCAGAATTCTCTTATACATGTACATATTTTATGAGCAAACACAAATTATTGTAGTCATGTATATATTTGTATATATTAGATACAGTATTTAAAATTGCATAAAATGCAACTTTATATAAGGTTAATCATACATTTATTTCTAATCTTTCAATAAAATAACAGGAAAAGAGAAACCCAGCCAGGTACATAATTTCTAATGCCTATAAGATAAAAATAACCCATTATTTAGGAGAAGTACACTATTTCTTTTCTTTTTGTACCAGGGTTGAGCCCAAGCACACTTAACCACTGAGCCACATTCCCAGTCCTTTTTTATATTTTATTTAGAGACAGGGTTTCACTGAGTTGCTTACGGCCTCGATAAGTTGCTGAGGCTAACTTTGAATTACAGCTTTGCGCCACCACACCCAGCTCAGTTATCTCTTTATACTAAATTCAGGAATGAATTTACCCCTTAGTTTTCTTCATGATGGAGAGCTATTGAAAAGATTTTTCTGCTGGTTTAGAGGATGCTGATTTGTATGGCTAATCCAAATCAGTGTTGGATTGATCTAGAATTTTAATATTATCTCATACTCCCCAAGGGAGAATTATACATTTTAATGTGAGCTGCAAGAAACTACTCTCCTACCATACTTGCAAATGGATTATGTTCAGGAAACTAATAAGGAATGCTAGTTTCCTTATCAAAATGCATGGATACACAGGAAAGGGAAGGTTAGGCTTATAAATTAAAATTTTATTTTGCATGCATAGCATTAACAAGACTGCCTTAGGAAGATAATATTTAGCTTTATTTTATTTTTCCTGCACAGAATCTAATTCAAAAAATTTTTAATACATCAACCAAATTTGTGCAGGCACTTGCTAACTGTCAGTATGTTTATTCTCCTTTTGAAAAAGCACTCATTCAGACTTACTGTTGTCCTTTATTTTTGTGCTTTTTAAAAATTTCTTTTTCTTTCTTTCTTCTTTTTTTTGATGGTGGGGGAACTTTATTTAGATAGTAAAATAATACTTTGAAATTGCAATTTTTAAACAAACAACGGAAATGTATGTTAGTACTTCACAGCCAGTGCCCCAATACCTCTGAAGTTATATGATGATGAGCACATGTAAAATAGGGCAGAAATTCCTTATTTAAATTCTTTTTATCTTCAGGTCACTGGCATGTATTTTATATGAGATGTGTTGTATGGATCACGCATTCACTGGCTCCAATTTCCTGTCTATTGTTTTAAAAATTGTTGAGGGTGATACACCCTCCCTCCCTGAGAGATATCCAAGAGAACTAAACACCATCATGGAAAGGTATGGAAAGAAATCTATTGTCAAAAAATATTATTTTGTTTAAATGAACTTATTCTTTAGCTTACTTGAAAAATAATTTTCTTTTTGAACATTACAGCATGTTGAACAAGAATCCTTCATTGAGACCATCTGCTCTAGAAATTTTAAAAAATCCTTACATTGCTGAACAGCTACAGGTATTTAAAATGAAAGGGATACTGGGAAACAGGTATTAGCATTTATATACACATTCTGTGACTTGAAAATATACTGTGGAAGTAAGATGCATTAAGAAACAAAGGAGGAACAAGATTAAAAAGAAGGTAGTCAGGACAATCTGTTTGCAACTGTACATCAACACTAGTTCCCAGATGTGCCCAGAAATGGGATGTTGGGGCTTTCAATTTATGCCTAATCTCAACATCTACTCTATGGCTCTTATACTGACAGTTGTTACCTCAACACATTGGAATTATATCCCTACTAGGACAAGAATGCACCAATAATGATGTTAGTCTGGGATTTTCTTTGAGCATTTATTATTCCACTCCTTTATTATATGTAACTCACTAACACTTTTTATTTATTGAGCTCATTTTGTTTTCCTGTGGTTTAGAAAATTTGATATAGTAGATCTGCCTATGGTAGTAAGAAAGAAGCAAATGGTTTCTTCCCTGAGGGCTTTTTTTCTTTTTTTAGCTTCTCTGGCTTTTGCAATACTAACCCCTCAGGCAGGTTTCTTCTGATTTCATGAAAAGATTTAATAGGAACCACAAGAGTTGTCCACTTTCCAAAATGTGCATATCTTTTCAGTCAGTGGACCGAGTTATAAATCCAGAGGAATCAAAGGTGGTGATGATGTATACTCATTCTTGAGTGCCAGGCACTGTGCTGACACTGGGGGGAGGCTAAAATGAAAGGAATGGGTATTGTTCCTGATCTTTTGAAGCATGACTGCTAGTGAGAGAACCCAGTGACCAAGGAAAAGTAGACAAATAAATGATCACAAGCAAAAAAATTAGGAAGAAAGTGAACAGGATTCTACAAAAAGTAACAGGTGGGGAGGGGCTTTGGTAGTCAAAGAAGGGGTTGGTACCATTTCAACACCAGTGAGCACAGGAGAAGGAGCCAGAATGTAAGGAACAATTTGAATCATAGGGAACAGCTAGTACAAAAGCCAGCCCTAAATTAAGTTGTGCTCATGGAAGGTGGACATAGAGAAGAAGGTTCTTACACAAACACATACTCCCAGAGGAAGCTAAGGAAAACATGGAGAGGAAGTCTTAAGGACCTGGGCACCTCCAATTCTCCCTATGTGCCAAGCATATTGGGCTCTGGGTAGTCCTCTATCAAAGGGAAATTAGTGCCAGCTAAAAGGGCCATCAATGTACAAAGAAACAAAAAGGATCTCAGGGAATCTGCCAAGACTAGGGTCAAGCAAGTGAGATACCTACCCAAGAGCAAACTTAAAGGGGACACCAAAAACTCAGTCAAGATAAATCATATATGTTTATGCAATAATCTAAAATCCAAAATAATACTAATTATCCCTGGTGAAGAATATTTAAAGTTTAAACAACAGATTCAGCAGAACCAGGATTAGGGCAAAGCAAGGAAGTAGAGTTGGGCAAGTTCAGTATTGGATCATGTCTTTATTTAAATATTTGATATTGTATTCTTCATAGCTTTTTGGACTTATTTTTTTTCTTTTTAAAATTTATTTCTTACATATATAACAATAGTGGGGTGCATTACATTCATAATTATCCATTCATAGCACAATTTTTTGTAATTCTGTATATAAAGTATGTTCACACCAAATTATGGCATTATACATGAGCTCTCTTATTTTTTTGCATAAAATTCTTAATACACCTTTATACCACCATTTATCATATCTCTGTTTGTATATAAGGACTTAATTTTGATTTTAAAAATAATATTGTATTTAAGTATTATTTCTCTTGGTCACAGAGTTTTTTGGTACCCACTTAGATTTTGTACCTAAAGTGAGTGCCTCATTTGCTAAATCCTAGTTCTAGCCTGAGGAATGTAGATTTGTCCATTCCAGGCTGGGATTTGGAGAAAGTGAGTATTGTTGGAGCTGAGAGCAGGCCTGCTTATAGTGGGTAACAAGGAGTAAGAGAGCAAGTAGTACAAGGTGAAGTTGGAGAGGTAGGCAGGAGCCTGGCCCTGTAGGTCTTCTCACATAAGCTACCGTGTAATTTTATATAACCTTTATATAGAGAAAAATAGTTACTATGAACTTAGTTTTCAAGCTTCCTGCCAGAGTCAATAATACCCCAAATCAGAAAAGGTACCTAGTAGTTTTATGTCCTTTCATTCAATTCATTACTGAAGAGGAATCTAATTTAAGTTTACCAGGATTATTATTAATTTTTTTAGCACCTGATGTGTAGATATTCTGAAATAACTCTGGAAGACAAGAATTTGGATTGTCAGAAGGAGGCCGCCCGGATAATTAATGCCATGTAAGTAATTGCTTTGTTTTTCAAAAGCCCATCCAGCATAAACGTTAAATGCATTTGTCTTTAAAAATCTATTAGTGCTAAGCTGAATGCATGGAGCATTCTAGAATTCACTTAATCTTGCCAGGAAATTAAGGAGCTTCAGTAATGTAGCATTCCAAAGCTTTTTGCCCCAGGTGGTAGCAAATTGAAATCATAAAAGTTTAAACCACTGCACAGCTTACAGATCTGCAGGGTAGCTCCACAGCTGCCTTGTAAGTGTGTAGAGAAATTAATATCTCAAACATTTAGTAACATTTATGCTAATGAGCCTTCCATCATAAGCATAAGTGGCTTTCACACATTGTTTGTTTAATGTGAACTGGCAGAAGAATATGGGATTCTGGGACAATTGAAAATAAGCCAGATTTACTTCCTTAAAGTATGTATCTTCTTATATAAGATCTAGAAAAGTGTGTTTTCAGAGAATTATAATTATTTTCTGTCCTAACTTCTCTTTTTCCTCATTCAAATTTTTTTGTGCTATAACTTGCAGGAGTCTAGAATGCTATATTACTTCAGAATCACCATGTGTAACTGTGCATGCAGTGCACTGCACAACTCCTGGGACCACTACTTTTAAAGACTAAATCTATAATTTTGCCAAACAAACTATATTTAATATTATAAAGACACACAGAGCAGAGCAGTCCCTCTTCAGCAGTGTACAGGACAGTGGAGTGAGAACAGGGGACCTGGGGCTGGGGTTGTGGCTCAGTGGTAGAGCACTTACCTAGCACATGGGAGGCCCTGGGTTCCATCCATAGCACCATATAAAAATAAATAAATAAAATAAAGTTAAAAAAAAAGAGAATAGGGGCCCTAAATAGGTTGATCTACAAGGCCAGATAGCCAGCAATATTTCTCTCACACCTAGTCCTGTGGGTTTCCTAACTGCAGCATTGTGGTCTCCATCCTCACATGCAAACTAGGAGAAACTTATCCACCAAGGCATCCAGTCTTTGTGTGATGCATGATCTCTAGGTGAAGCACATTGTGCCTTAGGGGGCAAATTTTTAAGCATGCTTCTAATAACCTTGTTTTGTTGAATTTCTAGTTATTCTTTCAAGAAAGGTTGGAATTTCAAATTTTATTTTATTAACTGGAAATGTGAAAGTACTAGATATCTTATTTTTAAAATATTGAGCTAATTTTAGTTATTATTTTGCACTGCAGTTGTGAAACACTTTGCCTTACACTGTTTAGAATTAACACTATGCTAGAATCTAATTATTTGGAGGGCATTTCATGTTGTGAAATATTGATTTCAATTAGTCACTCTTATTTTCAAGATCTAAGACTATGTTTTAAGGAGATCTGTTTGGGTTTAGAAAATTGGGTATATATATGCCTGAAGGATTGAACTTTGCTTGGTGACTCTGTTTGGATGATATTACAGAGGAATGAGAACTGCTACAAAACTCATTACAATTCTCTTAGTGGTTCTTAAGGAAGGAGTGGATTATAAAAGGTGTTCTTTGATATTGATCCATAACCAAGTCAGGAACAGAAGCAATTATCATTGGGAAAGTGGTTGTAGGCCTTTCAATAGTAGATTAATGTGAACACATTCCTTTTATTGAAGAAAAAGATTCTTAATTAATAATATTATCTAACATTTTGTGGGTTAATGACCATATCCTCAGCTCGGTATCTAATAGAATCCATTTACATGAACTCATTTAAAGGCAGGAAAACCCTATGAAGTAGGTAGTACTTTTTTTATAGTCATGGGTTAAGTAACTTGCCCAAGAATACATAAAATGTAAGCTGGGAGGTTATGATATGAACCCATATTTAGTTGTTAACCTGTGTGATCAAGCACTCATATAAGTCATACTCAGCAACATACACCTATTGTGATACCATCATAAATACTTGCGCATACATTGTCTCATGATACTTACTATAGCCCATTCTTTACAGATGAGAACATTGAGGTTCAATTTCTCATTCAAGTCTATTGAGCTAATGAGTGGTAGAGGTGGGATTCAAATCCTGCTTAACTCCAAATATTGTATACCTATCCACATGGCTGAATTACTCTGACAGTCGTTTTGCTCCCTAATGACCACAATTCTAATTTGTCTTACCATTGTGAAAACTAGTTATAGGCAATGAAATGAGCAGAAATTTGGAAAGTATATAATTTTCTTTTAAACAAAAATCTAATTTGAAAGATATTGTCAATTAACTACAGTCCTGATTGGCTCATTGCCTATCCAAAGATTATTAGTTTTTGCCTGGCCTGTCTTGAGATGCTTTTGCTTTCTCGGTAGTGTAATTATACTTCTGTAAAAGATTTGTTTAATTTTTCTGAGCATGTTAGCATGTGGGGAATCTTTATGATTTATAGGCAAAAAAAGATACACCTGCAGACTCTTCGGGAACTATCTGAAGTGCAGAAAATGACACCTAGAGAAAGGATGCGGCTGAGGAAGCTCCAGGCAGCTGATGAAAAAGCCAGGAAGCTAAAGTAAGCTGCCTTTCCTTTCGTACTGTATGCCTCCTGTGCTGCTCCCAGGGGCTATGAAGGAATTCACTGAAGAGAAGACAAAAAAAAAAAAAAAAAAAAAACAAATCAAGAAACCAAAATGCATATGGTTATATATTTATTTGTTTATTCATTTACTCATTCAGTCAAAAGATGATTGAGTCTTAGAGTGGATGCCAGGTACAATTTATATTAGGCTTTCAGTGTTGAGTATAGAGAAAGATTGAAAATCAGGGAGTGCATTAGTGATGAAAATAGGGTTAGTCTCTTGAGTGAAACTTCATTGGTGCTGACATCTTCTATACATACTCAAGCAACAGACCAAAAAGAAGCCTTTATTATTTTAATCTCATTCCCTAGGTGCTTGTTGTGTTTCTTCTACCAGGAGACCTAGCTGATCTACAGGGATAAGAGGTTTTGCTGGCAGAAAATTTTTAGCTTGGAAGACAGTAAAATGCAGTCAGTTCTGGTCTGTTAAAAGAAGCATTTAGAAGTATCTTTTTATGAAAAAGTATAATTTCAAGCATCGGGAAGGGGGTGGAAAACTTGTAAAGTTATTATGGAAAGAAGTATGGAGTTTCCCTAAAAATTTGAACATAGAACTTCTGAAAGATCTCACAGACCTGCTTCTGAGTTTATATTCAAAGGAAATGAAATCAAATATTGAACAGATCTGCATTCCCATGCTCACTGCAGCATTATTCACAGTAGCCCAAAGATGGAATCAAAGAGAAATGTGGACTGTACATACAACAGGATTCTCTTTAGCTTTTAAAAAGAAGGAAATCACATCAACTGCACCAGCATGGATGAATCTGGAGGACATTAGGCTAAGTGAAATAAGCCATCCATAGAAAGACAAATATTCATGATCATGATCTCACATATATATGAAATCTGAAAATATGGAACTAGTGAAGGTGGAAAATGAAATGGTGATTAACAGGGTCAGGGGCATGGATGAGGAGATTTAGACAAAGGTACAAAGTTGCAGTTAGCCAGGAAGAATTAGTTCTAGAGAGCTATTGTTCATCGTAATGACTAATTAAGACATTGTAGATTTGAAAATTACTCAGTAATAGACCTTAAATGTTCTCACCACAAAAAAGTATGTGAAGTGATGTATATGTTAATTAACTTGTTCTAATCATTTTAACAATATATACATATATCAAAACATCATAATGTATACTATAAATATAAACTATTTTATCTGTCAATTAAATCTTATTAAAACTGAAGAAAGATGTATGTATGAAGAGTGGAATATCAAAGAGCCCCGGACTCTCAATTTCTCAAATGCTTTTTTTCAGTTGCAAGGTTTGCCAATTCTCTAATTTTTCTTCTTTCTTCCTTCGCTTACTCTTTGGTAACTTAGAAATCCCAACCAAGGACTAGAGGGATAGATAAGTTCCAAATAGCAGATCTGCTTACTTTGTGATCATGTTTACAAAACAAACCTGAAACATGATTTAGAGATATCCTTGTACTCTGAATGAATATCATGATGAACCAAATAAGAATCTATCAGACTCTATTTTCCTTAACACATGCTTTCTTTAATATATGTGGAGAAAGATTTGCATCAAAGTGCAGTGATGTGCTGGTAAACATTTAACAGACAGCTCTGGATTTAGAGTTAGCTGACTTGCTTGCTGATTTCTGTGTTGTAAATACTCCCACCATGGCCAATTTCGGCTACCAATGTGATGTTACTGAATGTTTAGTTAGGAAGATAATGTACACAGTGTGTTCTAGGGAGCCAATACTAGTTTGTTTTTGTAAATCACTATAGCACTGAGTGTGGGTTTTACTTGGAAAATATATTCACATAAATTCCTTGAGCCATTCCATCAACTCATAGTCTCAAATTTGTTTATAATGTTAGTATCTCCATTGTACCATGATTCAGATCATTGATTGTGGATAAAAGAAAAATTTATACTCTGATAGAAATGGATTAAAATGGCAGATTTAATAATTTATCTGCATATTACAATTATTCAGATTAAAACTATTTTATAGATCAATGGAAGTCATAAATCTTTCAAATGATGCACTAATATTTTCACATTTAAAGTGATAGTGTTTACATAAAATTTGATCTTTATTTTATGAATGAATTGTATTGTAATTTTGATCTTTGTTTCTAGAATAAAAGGGAACATGTGTTTTTAGTAAGAAAATGACTCTAATGTCAGAAAGGTGAAATGTATCCATTTTATAGACAAGAAAATTTAACTAGAAGGATGTTCAGTGACTTGTAGAAAATATCTAAGTATAGATTAACACACAAGTTATCATAAGAACTTAAATCTTTCTTCTAGTAGCAGATTTATTATAATCAATTCTCCTAGTTGGAAACAAATAAAGAAAACAAAGGAAATAAAATTTTTCTACAGAAGAAAATTTTCTTCCACAGTGATGCCTATATATTTTTCATAAATTCTTTGATATGTAGTATTTCTTTTTTTCCTGGCTTGTGTGTTGGTTCACCCTGAAAACATTTTTCATGGTGTTAGTATATGTCAGACACTGTGGAAACCCCCATCATCATATTCAGGATGCACAGGGAGGAATTGTCTTCTCCTTCTGCTGCATTTGAGAATTCCTAAGAATTAATAAGGAACCAGAGTATCCCTGTGTGTGATTTAAAAGAGAACTAAAGTTTAAAAGTGTTATGCACAGCATACTACTTCCCAAGCGAGAGACAGATGACCTGGCTTCCCATCAGCCTAATCTGCCCATGATCCCTGAACAGGGATCATACATATCTGTAGATAAGACATAGTTTTAGAAATTTGAGTTACTTTTGTATGTTCACTTTAAATTTGCAGAAAAATTGTGGAAGACAAGTATGAAGAGAATAACAAGCGGATGCAAGAATTGAGATCTCGGAACTTTCAGCAGCTGAGTACAAATGTGCTTCATGTAAGTATCTCTTAAATTTTACATAAGACTCTTTCTTGCTTCAGATTATACATACTCATATAGGTAGTTGTATAGGAAAAGGGACAGGTTAGAAAATAAAAGTACTATGACCAAGTTTCTAATTCCAGGGAGGATTCTAGAATGTAGGCCATCAATTGGAAAAAACACTAACTCAAAGATCCACAGAGGTGGATCAGGTGATGTATCCAACACATTTATTGAGTGCCTACTATGTAGTTTATAAAGGATTGGCACTGAATACACAGTTGATGAGTTAAATAACTAGATCTTAGAACACATATGTGTATTTCTAATTTTTTTTTTACTGAAACAACTGTTGTCAAATATGACTTTTATTATGCATTTTCTTTATATGTGTGTCTTTATGAATGTATATGTCTATTCACACACACAATCATTCACACAGAGAGACACATACTTCAAGCCGTGGAAAATTCTCAGGATTTTGTTAGGTTTAAATAATCTATATATTAATTTGTGGACTACTGATATCTATATCATGCTGAAAATTCCCATAGAGGTGGATAAATGTCTACTCAAGTCTTCATTTCCATCCTCCATTCATCTCGTATGTTCAGATGTGAGCTGGTTACTGTGTTGCTGCACACTCAAAGCCTTCAGGAGTCAGGAGGAGTATAAACAGTGCAGCAGGGTAGATATGAGGGAATGGCGAGTGGTTTGAACTTTGGAGAACTAGAAATAACATTGTCATAAAGGTATTAGGTTCATTTAAAACTCAATGCACATTAAACCAATGTTTGTGGACAGCCAGTTGGAATATCCATCTATAGTTCTACTTTACCTTCTCCTTTAGTTTTGGAATTTTAGAAATGTAACAGCTTCTTTAGTTTAAATGACATAAGTTTGAGACCATTCATCCACCTGGAATTAGGAAAGCAGGTCAAACTTTATTCTCTATCTTCACTGGTTACGGATGAAGTTTTATCTAGTTTTAAAAATTTGTTGTTTTGTTTATATGTAAATGAGGAACACATCTCAGTTCTTTTTTAAATCTTTTCTCTATCTCTTTTTTTTTTTAATCTTTTCTTTTTTTGGAACTGGGAATCAAACCCAGGGCTTTGTGAATGATGTTGTAGATGTCTTACCTCTTTAGTTCATTGACCTTTCTTATTTTTATTCTTTCCCTTTTTATTGTCTCTCTCCCACTTATATCATGTGTATTGTGTTAATAACTTCATTCAAACTCTGAAGAACCACCATAGCTATATGATAACGAATAGGGTTGTAGGTTTACATGACATGGATCCCAAATTCATATCCTCTATATTCCAAATCTTTGAATAGCAAATGCCATTTTCACTAATGGTTGAAAATATCTCCACAGGCCTTGGGGTAGGCTCTGATGCTCAAGGTAGTCTTTATGAGGTCATATTTGGTTACTCAACATCAACACTAACTCATAGCTCTCCTGGTAAAAGCAATTTGGGTTGGAGATATTTCTCATTCATTCAGTGGAAATTCCTGTATGTGAAAGAGATTCTTACCTTTCGCAGGAAGAACCAACCTCCCCTAGAGGCTGTGGGGAGAATCCTTTGAACCCTGAGGATGCTAATTCTGTAGTAGTATAGTATCAGAGGCCTCAAACCAAGGGACATTCAAACCTTAGCAGAGCTCACTCTCAGCTAGGAAGGGCCTAGGAACACTTGTTTTCTGCCCTTCTGAGGAGGAGAGATGCTAGTGAACTACCTTTATCAAATATTTAGGGGTACTAGATGCTTTAGAGTTCTGAAAATCCAAAATTGGGCCAAATAGGGGGCAAAACTTCCTCTGAGCTCACAATCTCCTTCTGTTTACTGGACCAATTAGCAGATACTGTGGAAATGCTGGACATACATGCTCAATCCCACTCTGCTTCTTCACCCATCTGGTACCTCTGTTAAGTAAAGCCAGCTATGGGATCTTTTTGCAGGTCCCAAAGACTTGGGAGATGAGGTTACAGACCCTAGTTAGTGGAGAAATTGTTGGCTGAAATGACACAGGGTTCAGCAGCAGGGTTAGATTCCTATTTGATGCCACCATAATGTGGAATGATCCAAGCCCTCTGAAAACCTAGCACCTTTCCTCAGCTCCCCAGATTTTATGGGCTTTGCAAGGAAAACCTGTGGATGTGGATCTTTTTCCCTGATTCTGAGACTGAGAACTGCACGTTTTCATAGATCCAAACAAGGAGGACTGGCAGGATCATAAGGATTCAGTTTGTTAATGTGCGTAAACTATTTGTTCTGGACAGAAACTGGGATGCTTTTTTCTGGAATTCTCAGGGACCCTTGATTCTAAGAGACTTTCCCCCTAAGACTGGAAATTGAGAACTATTATTTAGTTGCATTTTGTTTTATGAACCTAATGACTTTATTTTTGAAGTTACTATATGGCAAATAAAAGTGTATTTTCAAGTATGATCTTAAGTGTTATTATCCAATAAGTTAACTTTTTGCTTTCCTTCTTTGACCCCTCAAGATAATCATTTTGTGTTCTTTTTTTCTGATATAAATATTATCATCATTATAACTATGTTGTATGGTATCCGGTCTTCCCATCCCCCTATATATCAGGGTGTCTTGAAGTCTAAAGATAACTCTGAGACCATATGGCAGGCAGAATCTCAGGAGATTTTGTTATCCATATGTTATCCCACAGAACATGGGAGCTAGGCAAAACATCCAGAGATTGGAACAACTGAGAAAAAAAGAAGATTTTATAAAAATCATAATTTCCTCAGTGAATTCCCAATTCCATCCTCTGTCTATCAGCAATGAGCAAACGGAAAAGGTAGGGAAGTGCCCAGTGTTGCCCTGGCCAGAGATTTTAGTTCATTCTTTGATCTTCCAAGGTTTAATGCTATCAGCATCTCTAGGCCTGAGCTTTCCAGAAGCATGTGCCCTAGTTTATATATTGATGGGAGCAGAAAATGCTCCAGTCTGTGAGAGTCTTATATGTGAGAGTCTTAAATCTACTCTCCTCACAGATTATGTCCTTTTCCCAGCTGGTTCAGCCCTGCATGGTTGCTCAGATCTCCCAAGCTCCCTGCTCCCTTTTGTGCTATTGTAACAGCCATTTCCCTCTGGCCTATTGTTAGCTTCCCATCTTCTCTCTTCCAAAACTTCACCTCCTCTTCTGGAAAACCTTCTGATCTTTGATCTCCACAATCAACTGGCTCTTGCTCAAATTTCTATGGCTTATAGTAACATTTCTCAGAATTCAAAATGTATCTGGGAGGCCTATGGATCTTGTTAAAATGTAGGTTCTGATTTATTTGTTCTGGGGTTGGGGGTGGCTGGAATATTGCATTTCTAACAAGCACTCTGCCCATTCCAAGGCTGCTGGCCCAAGACCATACTCTGATTAATTATTGAAAATAGGGCTCCTGAAAGCAGCAGTTCACCTCCAGATGAAGGAAGACCTGGAAAAACCTCCAATGAACAGATCTTCTTATAATCTCTTTAGGAAAAAAATCACTTAATGGGAACAGAAGAAAAGGAGAAGCAAATGGAGAGAAGACTTTCTTGTTCACCCCAGCAGGAGGATGGAGAGAGACAGCCAGGCAAGGAAGAGGCAAGTTTAATCACATCCACAGGCAAAAGAGTGAGATGGGTTTAATGATATTCACTGAACAAAGAGGAAGAAAACCAAAGTCAAACATTTTGCAGAGGGACCTGAAGGTTGAACTGAGATAGATGAAATAAAGTATAAGAAAGAAAATGGATGAATCAGATGCAAGAGGCTAAAGAAAAATGTGATAAAGAAGAAGAGGAAAATGCTCCCTTCTTTGAATGCTTTTATTCCCCTGCCTCTACACATATTTACAACTTAAGTTCTTCCTAATCTCATTGGGGACTCTCTTCTCAATTCCTTTTTCCTTCTCTCTTGAATGGCTGAAGCAAGCCCCTTTTTTATTTCAGAAGCAGTCGTAGGAGAGAATCAGTTATGGGAGTGAATGGACTGATTGTTACATGTTATAAAAATTCTTTGAAGCATTTGAGAGAGTAACTTGCTTTGTTTTTCAGACCCTAACTGACAACATCTTTTACTTTGGCAGGCAGTTTCTGCTTGGTTGAATTTGAGCTATGAAATCTTGAAGCACAGTTGAATGTAGGTAGACTGATATTAGGCACCATTTCCTTAAAGAATGGTATCTTAAAAACAACTATGTACCATAATATAAAAGATAAGCCCCATTCATCTTTTTGGTATATATTTGCACTGGTGCCCAGGTTGAGTTTCTGTGAAAAGTGCATGTCAGAGCAGGTCTCCATCATGCATGGAATGGTAATGGGGATCAAAGATGAGATCAAGTCCTTCTATACTAAAAGAACAATTTTAACAACTCTGTTTGTTCTATTAAAAGAGGACCTTAGCAAATCAAAATCACTTGAGAGCCCAAGTACTTATTTTCAAATAAGTGCTAAAGCACATGTAAAATCACATTTCATGCAATTTCTACTCTTTGTTCTTGAAGTTCTCTATGTACCATCAGTGATCCTTTGAAATTTGGAATTCAGTTGTACTTCCTGAAATAATTAAGTATATAGTATAGAAAATGGACTTTTAAAAACCACTTTATGACCATATTTTCACAAATGCTACATCACAGTGTGGCATAGCTTCATTTTTACGTATTTATTTAATATTAGTTTAGGACTGGTAATGTGGGTCAGTGGTAGAGTGCTTGCCCGGCATGCAGAAGGCCCTGGGTTCATTTCCGAGCACAGCAAAATAGAAAACAAAAGACATAAGATTAATTTTTCCTTTTAATTTCCTTCTTAATAAGAAGACATTCTTGGAGTAGCTCTGCATCAAAGCCATTTATCAAGGAAAAGAGGCCAATTTACCATCCATTCTAGGTGACAAACACATACACACTCAAAACTGGGGGGGGAAAGGACAAGGTGATTTGTTGAAATACTTATTGATATGTTTATGAAGTTTACCTTTGTTTATTTGAAGTAAGAATTCTAAGTATTCTCTTAGATATTTTGCTTTTAAGAAATTAAAATTCATAGAATCATGGAGTTTTTAAAGCTAGACAAGAAGCTGGAAGTCATTCAAGCCAATGCTTTTTAATTTTGAGATGAAGAAAAATTCAGGACAGGAATGACAAAGGTGGAGTGCCCTGGGTGCAAAATAGAAAGCATCACTCCTAGCTGCCAGTGGAGCCTGCACTTGCCTGAACCTGAGTGTTAATTTTTTACTCTGGGCATCCTGCTTGACCTACTAGTCATGGACCTAAACCTGAGGGCTATGAAGTTCAAGTGTTTGCCCAAGGTCACCTGTCTCATTGATTCAGGACTATTTTTCTCCTAACCCAAGTTACTATCTTAAAGTTTGAAAAAGTTATTATGTTTAAGGGAGAGAATTTGGTAGGTTTTTGTTTCCAAATAATCTTTTAAACAAGAATATGATCTCATTTGTGGTAGTCCTATTTCTTTCTGTCAACTTCTGATGAATTATTAATTTCCTCCCATAAGGAATTAGATGAACCAGCTTCAGAGAACCTACCTGAGTCTCAGCCTACTCCTTCCCTGGACTTTGACTCGAGTAGAGAAGAGGCCATCACTGACCTTGAACATAATGGTATGTGTTTGCATCAGCTGTCATCAGAGTGCTTGGCTGCCTGCAGTGGGCCTTGCCAGCCTCTAAAAGAAGCTCTGATTGTATGTGACCACTCTCTATCAGCTTGCCAGCATTGGGCCATGACCAGGCTGAAAAACAGATTAACCAAGCATTTCTTTCCTCTCTATGTTCTTTGTAATAGTGAACACAGTTGGAAACTCACACCTGGTGGGGGACCGTCTCTGAATGGATTACATGCTATCATCATTGACCTGACTTTGAAACAGTGTAGGACTGACTCTGAAGTGCAGTTTCCCTCTCTTATAGATTGTTCCCCCAGCCCTTATAAATTTATATTAAAGAAATGAAACCATACTTTGTGTAAAATCAACTATTCAGATGGGCAAGAAATTGCTAGAAAATAAAATTGCTTAGAGCTGTTACCTAAATGGATGATATACATCATCGCTGAAAAGCATAGATTTTGGAGTAAAAAAGCTGGCCCTATCAGAGAGGCCCCTGGAAACTTATTCTTCCAGGTCTTAGTTTCTTTATTCATGAAACAAACAACATTTTCAGGGTTATTGTAAAGAACAAATGAGATGAGGCATATAAATACTTAGCACACATTAGGAGCTGAAGAAAGAGAAGCAGTTATGATAATTTGTGGGGAGTTTATGAATGTACAGGTTTTCTTAGTCTTGCTCACCACTCTCCCCAGTGCCTAGAATGACGTGCCAGAAACATGGAAATTCAATTTCTTGAATGAATGACCAATAAATGAATGAATAATATATTAGTCTAGACTTCTGGGAGGCAGATGCCAAGATAGAACTAAAATGCATGGTTATTTTTAGGGAAAATACCTGCATGAAAGGAAATAGGAAAGCAGCTGGGAGAGGTTAGGAGAACTGTCAGACACTGTCAGACTATGATTAAAGTCTTATTCTAACTAAAGAGAGAATGCTTGGTGGAAGTGTTCTCTTCTGCTATGAGCCAAAGTTAGCAAGGTATCACAAAGTCCTCCAGCAAAGCCATCCATTGGAGGCCAGCTGTACTGTGCTGTCTTCTTCGGAGAGGGCCTCTGAGAGAATGTGGAGGATTTCAAAAGCATAGCAGCTGGGTCGTGGGCCACTTGTACTCCCTATAGTTGGAAGTCTGCCAGGTCTTGGGCAGTAGGATAGTTTTGTTCGCAAATTGAGAATTAGGATAGTGAAGCTTGGATTGTTTGGTCATCTCAGCACACATTTGCACTTAAGATTCTCCGGATAGAGCTCTTAGAGGTTGAGCTACCTCCTTCAGCTGTATGGAGACTAGCACCTAAATACAGGGACTAACAAAGCTTTTAAATCAGTTTTTAACAGTAATGCTGCAAAAGCATTTTGAAACAGATATAATTGACAAATGAATATGTATATGAGATGGACTTGTGTTAGATCTTTCGTAGGTGTTTCTTTAATATATTGTTTGTTAGTTTCCCAGAGTGAAATTTGGAAGTATAGGAATATTCCATGGACCCTTCTTTCCAATAACAGAAAACTGAGAAAGTTAGGCCTGATAAGGGTGGCTTGTGTTGTGCTATAGGGAAGTGCCATTGTCCCAGGACAGTATATTGAATTGAGTGGTCTAGAACCAAGAATTTGGGCTCATCCTCCTGGCTTCAAGTAGGAAAAAGTACCTATCAATGCATTTCTGAGATGAGAAGCCTAAGACACTAATCAGTTTTCAAAGGACCATTAGAACACCTGCTTTCTAATGCAGCCACACCCCTACCATTTCCCTCAAACTGATGAGTAGGAGCAATAGGTTTATGAGAAATAGTCAAGCATGTCAAGTGAATTGGACTTTCAAAAGGCAGAAAGTCTTTGTTGTGTGTCTGTATGCTAATTTTTGTGAAATGAAGTAGAAAAATTACTCCTAAGCTACCCCTGATTGCAGATTCCAGCCACTACTGGGAGACCTGAGCTGATGTCCTTACTTTTCATTCTGTGTTTTGTTATTGAGGTTTCATTATGGTAGACCACACATTGATTTACCAGGCAAACTGGAAATGGTCACATCTATTTCCTTGGCCACCTTATTTATGCTACAAGGAAACACTACTTAGATCACTGTAATATGCTGTAAGATAAACAAAATCCCAAACTTAAAACAAACAAAAAAATAGTTTTAGTTGGTCAGATGCCTTGTAAAATACTTTTAGCATATCCCATATGTTTTCTTCTCTGTAAATTCACATTTCTAAATACAAATTTTTCTTAAACATTAAGTTGAAAGAGAGACTTAGAATTGTGAAAATGCAACCTTTGGGTTTGACATCTCATTAGAATGGTGAGCAAATACAGGATGATTGTTGATCACACAGCTTCATTATGAACTTTTGAAACATGAGACTGATTAAGTGCCTAATTATTTTCCCAAGGCTCTTTGCTTTTTAGAAGATTTGGCACCAAACTTTCAGCACCAAGAGGACATTTTTGTTTATTTTATTTTACTTTTTTTCTAGCATGTGTATACAAAGTAAAATTACTCAGTCATTTTTTAAAAACTCCTTCACCAACTATTTAATCATTCTTTGATCTTGAGCTGGAAATTCCCCTTGGGATGTGTGGAGTTGTAGGAAAAGAAGGCAGGTCAAGACATTATTTATGTTTGATGTGCATTTAGTTGGCTATAGGTGATTTCATCTAGCCGAAGTTATGGTTACCAAAGTTATTATAATCAAATGAATAAGTAAAACCACAGTGTTAAATTATTTTAAAATAATTCCTTATATTTAATGCTGATTTATTTCTTGCAAATTAATTTTTTCAAAGTCTTTCCTTGCACTCTTGCCTTATCTTCAGTAGCTCATAACTGACTTGCTCAAGTATTTCTTGCAAAGTTGATATAGTCTGAGACTCATGAGCTTGGATCTGCCCAGGACATAATCCCTTAGCCCAGCCTATCCCTTAATCCCTTAACCCATACCTGAAAGGCATGAAGACTGCAGGCCTCACATGCCTGCCTACATCCTGACCAGCTACCACCTCTTAATTTCCCTTTTATCTATTTCTGGAGCAAGTCCTGAGCCTCCTCTTAGTACCTGGAGAAAACTCTGACCTCATGGGGGTTATACTTTGTTTGCCTGTAGGAAAGCCACATGCCTTTTTCAGTTGTGGGTATAGGGAAGAGAGAAATCCCCTCCTCTGTCCCTTAGTTCTTCTGTAGGCTTTTTGGGCAAAACTAGGAAACTAATTAATATAAAAGCTGATTAACAAGATTAAAGCATAAAGTTTTATTAATTTTACATGTACACAGGAATCTTTACAAGAGAGTAAAATCCAAATAAATGACCAAGGCATGATGTTTTTATACTTTTGGACAAAGAGCAATAAATTTGTGAAGAAATGATAGGACAAGTGGCTGTCTGGACTTGGATAGTAAATTCTAAGGATGTTACTATGCTGTGTATATGGGGGTGATGTAGAAGACAGTGGAAGGTAAGGGTTACCTCAAAGAGTTTATTTCCTCAGGTTCATTGCAGCCCCAATATCAGTCTCTGATGATCAAGGCTATTTTCCAGCCTTGGCACGTGAAGCAAATCCCTTCCAAAAGAATCTTTATGGCTTGTTGCATCTGGGGAAGGATAGTTCAAATGGCCCTTCTTGCAGTTTCAGTTACTCAAGTGATTTCAGCTTGATGTAACCAATATACCTATCTGGCATTATTTCTAGATGGCTTTTCTTTAACTCCTTCATGGACTACTCTGTGACTCAAACATTATTTCTTCTTTTTAAATGTCCAAGTATAAATAAAGTGATTTGAACTTAATCATGGTATTTTTTATTGTTTTAATTTTTTAAAAAGAAAACTTCTGCTGACTCAAGAAATGACATTTCTCTGCCTGGTCTAGATCCACCTCCACCCACCTGCATGGGACCCAGGCCCAGGATAGGCCTGGGTCTATCCCACCACCAGAAGACACCCTCCAGAGCACAGGACCGCCTCCTCTGACTAGTGGACCCCCGCCGAAGCTCTGGCCTGGTTCAGATGCTCCTACACTGACCTGCGCAGGACCCAGGCCCAGGGTAGGCCTGGGTCTGCCACACACACACACCCACAGCCAGCCTCAGGCCAGGCCTAACCCACTTCCATCTTGGGACTCTGCAAACATTCCCACAGCCTTCTCCACACAGTAGCCTTTACCTTTTGCTAACAGACAGGGCCTAGAAGCAGCTGAATCTTGGAGCAGGCATCCCAAAGGGAGTGTAAGGTCCACCCTTTCAGCCCCATCACTGAAAGACCTGCATCCATCTTGGGGCACTTCCACTGCTATCTTGAGTTACCTCTGCTATTGCCACCACCACCTTTAGTTTCACTAGCACACATTGAGCACAGCCTCAGGGTCTGGAAGCCCAACATCAAGGTGAGGTACAAGTAATAACAGAGCCCATGGACAGTGAAGTTGATGAAATATCAGAGAAGGAGTTCAGAATAAACGTAATTAAAATGATCTGTGAATTAAAGGGTGACCTAAATGAACAAAAACAGGCAACAATTGATCACTCCAACAAAGATATAAGAGCAAATATAGGTAGCAAAAGACTATTTCAAGAAACAGAGACTCTGAAAAAAAAATCAGAAATTCTTGAAATGAAGGAAACAATAAACCAAATAAAAAACTCAATAGAACGCATAACCAACAGACTAGATCACTTGGAAGAAAGAACATCAGATAATGAAGACAAAGTATACAATCAGGAAAATAAAGTTGACCACACAGTGAAGATCGTAAGAAACCAAGAATAGAACATCCAAGAATTATGGAATAGAATAAAAAGACCAAATCTAAGAGTTATTGAGATAGAGGAAAGCACAGAGTTTTAAATCAAAGGAATTCACAATTCTTCATTCAGAAAATTTCCCAAGTATGAAGAATGAATTGAAAAATCAAATTCAAGAGGCTTACAAAACGTCAAATGTACAAAATTACAACAGATCTACACCAAGGCACATTATAAGGAAAATGCCTAGCATACAGAATAAGGATAGAATCTTAAAGGCCACAAGAGAGGAATCAGATCACATATAGAGGGAGGCCAATTCATATATCAGCAGATTTTTTAACCCAGACCCTCAAAGCCAGGAGATCATAGAATAACATATATACCAAGTTCTGAAAGAAAATGGATGCCAACCAAGATTCTTATATTTAGCAAAATAAGCTTTAGATTTGATGATGAAATAAAAACCTTCCATAATAAACAAAAGTTAAGAGAATTTACAACTAGAAAGCCTGCACTACAGATATCCTTGGCAAAATATTCCATGAAGAGGAATTGAAAAACAAGAGTTAAGGGAGGTATTACACTAAAGGAAAAACTAATCAAAGGAGAAACCAAGTCAAGTTAAATACCAAAGATAAAATAACTGGGAATATAAATCATGTCTCAATAATAACCCTGAATATTTATGGCATAAACTCACCAATCAAAAGACGTAGACTGGCAGATTGGATTTTAAAAAACAGACCCAACAATATGCTGCCTCCAAGAGACTCATCTCATAGGAAAAGACATGCACAGACTCAAAAGGTTGAGAAAAATCATACCACTCACATGGACTGTGGAAGCAAGCAGGGGTTTCCATCTTCATATCAAATAAAGTAGACTTCAAGCTAAAGTTAATCAAAAGGGATAAAGAAGGACACCATATATGGCTCAAGGGGAAACACACATCAATAAGACATAACAATTATAAATATATATGCCCCAAACAATGGAGCATCTATGTTCATCAAACAAACTCTTCTCAAGTTTAAGAGTCAAATAGACCACAACACAATAATTCTGGGTATCGTTAACATACCACTTTCACCACTGGATAGATCTTTCCAAAGAAAAAGTGAACAAAGAAAGTATAGAACTCATTAACACAATCAATAACTTAGACTTAACTGATGTATATAGAATATTTCATCCTTCAACAAGCAAATACACATTCTTCTCAGCAGCACATGGATCCTTCTCTAAAATAGACCATAATATTATGCCACAAAGCAACTCTTAGCAAATACAGAAAAGTAGAGATACTACTCTGCATTCTATCAGATCATAATGGAATAAAACTAGAAAACAATGATAAAATAAAAAAATAAAAGCTTCTCCAACACCTGAAGACTAAATAATATGCTACTGGATGAAAAATGGGTTGCAAAAGATATAAAGGAGGAGATTAAAAAATTCTTAGAGGTAAATGAAAACATTGATATAACTCAGGGGAACTATAGAAATCTCTGGGACACTATGAAGGCAGTAATAACAGGAAAGTACATTGCGGGGCTGGGGTTGTGGCTCAGTGGTAGAGCACTTGCTTAGCACGTGTGAGGCCCTGGGTTCGATCCTCAGTACCACATTAAAAAAATAATAAAAAATAAAGGTATTGACGACTGCAACTAATATATATATATATATATATATATATATATATATATATATATGAAAGTACATTGCATGGATTTCATTTCTTAAAAGAAGAAAAAGTCAACAAATAAATGACCTAACATTACATCTCAAAGCCCTAGAAAAGAAGAACAAATAAACACCAAAAGCAATAGAAGACAGAAATAATTAAAATCAGCTGAAATGAATGAAATTGAAATAAAAGAAACAATTGAAAAAATTGACAAGATAAAAAGTTGGTTCTTTGAAAAAATAAAATTGACAAACTTTTAGCCATGCTAATGAAAAGGAGAGAGAAAATTCAAATTACTAACATTACATGATAAAAAAAAGGAAATAGCACAAAAGACACTACAGAAATACAGAAGATAATTAGAAATTATTTTTGAAAACTTGTACTCTAATGAAATAGAAACTATCAAAGGCATAAAAAAAATTCTAGAGTCATATGATTTGTCCATACAGAATCAGGATGATGTACACTATGTAAACATCAATTTCAAGAGATGAAATAGAAGATGGCATCAGAAGCCTACCAACCAAGAAAAGCCCAGGACTAGATGGATACACACCTGAGTTCTACAAGACCTTTAATGAAGAACTAATACCAATACTCCTCAAATTATTTTGTGAAATAGAAAAAGAGGGAGCACTTTCAAACTCATTCTATGAGGCCAATATCACCCTGAATGCAAAGACCAGGCAAAGACACATCAAAGAAAGAAAACTTCAGACCAATACCAATACCTCTAATGAACATAGATGCAAAAATTCTCCAAAAATTCTGACAAATTAAATACAAAAGCATATCAAAAAGATAGTGCACCATGATCAAGTGGGGTTCATCCCAGGGATGCAAGGTGGTTCAACATATGGAAATCAATAAATGCAATTCTTCACATCAATAGACTTAAAGATAAGAACAATATGGTCATCTCAATAGATGCAGAATAAGCATTCAACAAAATACAGCACCCCTTCATGTTCAAAACACTGGAAAAACTAGGGATAACGGGAACATATCTCAACATTGTAAAACCTATCTATGCTAAACCCTAGGCTAGCATCATTCTAAATGGAGAAAAATTGAAAGCATTACCTCTAAAAACTGGAACAAGATAGGGATACCCTCTTTTACCACTTCTATTTAACATAGTTCTTGAAACACTGGCCAGAGCAATTAGACATATGAAAGAAATTAAAGGGATATGGATAGGAAAAGGAGAACTCAAATTATCACTATTTGCTGATGATATGGTTCTATACCTAGAAGACCCAAAAATTCCACCAGCCAACTTCTAGAACTAATAAATGAATTCAGCAAAGTAACAGCATATAAAATCAACACCCATAAATTAAAGGTATTTCTGTATATCAGTGAAAAATCCTCTGAAAGGGAAATGAGGAAAACTACCCCATTTATAAAAATCTCAAGCAAAAAATAAAATACTTGGGAATCAACTTAATGAAAGATGTGAAAGACCTTTACAATGAAAACTACAGAATGCTAAAGAAAGAAATTAAAGAAGACCTTAGAAGATGGAAAGATCTCCCTTGTTCTTGGATAGCAGAATTAATATTGCCAAAATGACCATATTACCAAAAGCACTATACAGATTTAATGCAATCCTAATCAAAATCCCAATGGCATTCCTCATAGAAGTAGAAAAAGCAGTCATGAAAGTCATCTGGAAAAATAAGAGACCCAGAATAGCTAAAGCAATCCTTAGCAAGAAGAGTGAAGCAGGTGGCATCACTATACCAGACCATAAACTCTACTGCAGAGCAATAGTAACAAAAACAGCATGGTATTGGCACCAAAATAGACTTGTAGGCCAATGGTACAGAATAGAGGACACAGAGACTAATTCACATAATTACAGTTATATTAGACAAAAGCGACAAAATCGTACATTGGAGAAAAGATATCCTGTTCAACAAATGATTCTGTGAAAACTGGAAATCCATATGCAAAAAAAAAATGAAATTAAGCCCCTATTTCTCACCATGCACAAAACTTAACTCAAAGTGGATCAAGGACCTAGGAATTAAACAAAAAACACTGTGCCTAATAGAAGAAAAAGTGGACCCAAATCTCCATCATGTTGGATTAGACCCCAACTTCCTTAATAAGACTCCTATAGCACAAGAAATGAAATCCAGAATCAATAAACGGGATGGAATCAAACAAAAAAGCTTCTTCTCAGCAAAAGAAACAATCAGTGAAGTGAATAGAGAGCCTACATTTGGGTAGCAAGTTTTTACCACATACACGTCAGATAGAGCACTAATTTCTAGGATATATAAAGAACTCAAAAATCTCAATGCCAAAAAACCAAATAATCCAATCAATAAATGTTCCAAGTAGCT